AGTTTTTTAATTAAATGTTTATTGTACGCGTTAAAAAAACTCCAAAATCATAGGGCTCATTCCCAATAAATCTATGGTTCTACGTACATAGATCCAACTCTGTGTGATTTGGAATGAGTCCTTTGCCTTTGGGATTTTTTTGTCTACATATCTTCCAAAGGTAGGCCTATAAATATTTCCAAATTCAGTGCGTTCGTTTCGATGGCGAATAAATAAACAAATGGATAAAAGAATAAGGACCAGGAGATGTTTCTCATTAAAAAAGAAGAAAAAATAATGACATTTCAGGTCATCTTACTGTACCTGAGGAACTGAAACTTTATAAATTCGAGAAGCGCGACTAAACTTTCACATTTACTTTTTATATTTAAATTATTAAATTAATTATTGATTGATTGGTTTATTTGTTCGACGTGATTTTTCATGCCGTAATGCTTTCATGATGTACAGGATTCAGAAAAAGAGTCTATATGTAAACTGTTCTTCAACCATGCTTCTGTGACGTCATATAAATCTAGGCGCGCCAAATAACCATACAACAATAGTACGGGCAGTGTTACTCCGCAAGTATTCAGCGTTGATGACGTAACGTTACCAAACACTGACGTCATAGACACCCCTGCAAATTTGTTGATCAGCAGCAAGCAAGACATTGAAACGTTTGTGAGTATTTTATTTCGTTTTTGTATAACGATTTTAAAGCAAGAAACTAACAAATATATTTAAATAACACTCGATAGTATCAAATATTGAAGCAAAAGTCTTTACAAGCGCAGACTTGTATATATAAGTGAAGGAACAGTGGATTTTTGTCAGTTGCTAACCAATTCTTGGTAACAGTCTATCCATGACTTTATCGAGTTACCGACGATTTGATAGAAACATGACAATGATATTTATCAATCAAGAACCCCAAACGTATACAAGCACATATAATGATTTATAGTGAAGTTCCAGTTCAATTACTTCAATTTTAGAATACCGTCAGAGCATTTTTCTTGCTTTTGCAATGGCATACAGAAAAGTTGATCAAAGAGATAAAAATGGATTGTTTGGAGGAATGTCAGTGTATGGTAAGTCAACGAAGGACTTATTAAAAATACCAGAATATTCCGAAGAGCTGGCGGGCCGATATGAAACAGTTTTTTAACGTAACGTGAGAGAAGAGGACTATCTTTGTATGTATGTGATATTTTTTGTGCCCTGCCTCACACTTTGTTATTCCATGTTACATCTTGGTTGACAATTGGTAACGTTTAGCAGCTCCGTATATACTGTTTCTGTCTATTTCTGTCCCTTCTTCAGATATAAACCCTCGCCTAAAAGCGGCAGTTTCCAGTTCAAGCCATCAACGGCTCTTAGGAAAAGGGAAACTCGCCATGGAAAGCATGAGAAAACCCCTGGTCTCCAATTTCCTCCCAGAGCTGCGAGGAAGGGGCACGTGCACCAGTGAGCAACAGCACTTTCCCGCCACAAATGTTAGAGAAGCTACATACGGGACCATTACGCCACTAACGTCACTTGCGAAGAGCAGTGCCATGTGGGATCAGCAGGCGAAACTGCAGACGACCCTGCCCCAATTGCCCGGCATCAAAACTGTGAGCAACACGAGATGATTTCAACAACATCATTACTTTGATAGTAATCTTTTCCTTTAGTTTCAAATTCCTCTGACTTAAAAGCCTAGGGGTTTCTTATATTTGCTCTCCTTTTTATGATTTTACATGCATTGTGATTAAGCTCTCTTTGACGACATATATTTCCCTTCCTCAAAAAAAAATTTCTTCCCCTTAGTAACAAATCTTAGTAATTCTTATTGTGAGCGTCAGAATCATTCACTGCATATTTTGTTTTACCCTGTAAATTGAAATTCAAAACGGGTGTATATTCTAGACGATTTGTCACAATTTTAGAAAAAATCGCTAACCCTGCAAAAGAGAGAGCACGTGCACGAGTTTGCCTCCGCTTGGGTTGAAACTCTAGGTAAGAGTCGTTTACTCTTTTAAATCTCATTTTATTTCTAATTAGTTTAGTTTAGAAATATTTGAACTAGATCAAGGTAAATATTTCGGGGACGTTTATTCTTGAATTTTTTTATAACAAGAATTATTTATAATGCACACAGCATACGTGTGTGTGTTATCATTTTTTCTTTGATCTTGAATAAGAACTATGCACGGTCATTTTGAAAAAGATGTAAAGATAGGCCTATGTTCACAATATTCGCAGAGAGTGCACCTATCTGAAAAAGTAACATCTTTCTTGTTTTCAGTGGATAGTATAAAGTTACCAGCCATCAACAACCACCATCAGACTGACCCCACATGCCCGGGGGCTGACAGGGGACATCCTCCCCACACACCCCTGATGAAAATAACCAGCCTGGAGGGCGTGGCTCCTGCCAACAACCGTATCACTGTGGACACCTTGCCTTCGCTGCCCCTTTTGCCAAAGGCTGCGCCACGTGGCCAGATTAATCTAACAAAAAATAGTAAGGACTTTTTGACTCAAAGAATTCAAATTTTCAGTTGTGCACATTAAATGTTTCATTCAGTTCTTGAATTAAGGTATTCTTTTCCATTTGACACCCCCTAACTTCTTTTTCGACCTTCATCTCTCTCTCTCTCTCTCTCTCTCTCTCGTATCAATCATACGCACTTTCCTTACAGGCAAACATCATATAAAACACCTCTACAGCACCGCCAATGTCAGGAGCAACATAGAGCAGAATCAGCGTCTACCTCCCGTAGTTGGTCTCGGAATCAAGGAAACCAAAAGCAGGAAATCTGGAGGGAAGGAATAGAATAATTTTTGATTTTCTTGATTTTGAGATAAAATAATTTTAATTCTTGATTTTCTTGATTTAGAATCACTGTTTTAACCTTTTTGGTTGTAGATTATGTGTTTGTTCCTTTTCTTTTCTTTTTCTGTCATTCAGTGCATTTTTGGTCTATATAAGTTAGATGTAAATTGATGAAGTTTTATTCATCTATTTATTTGGGGTGGAGGGGTAAGAAACGAACGGGAAGGTTTGGCGGTCTTTTTCAACTTCTTTTATAAGAACCGAAGCACGTGTAATGGCACTGGTGACAGCTCTACTAGTAATTGCACCAACTTCTAGTGGCTGTCACTGTTGTAATGCAAAAATCTTGGGCACTCGGCAAAACTTTCAGTCGTCGGGTGCGCATTGCCTCCCACTGGATCGCACCATGAATACAGCTGCGCGCTAGTGACACCCGCGTGCAGACGACAGCGAAATATGATAGGTGGAGATCAGAAGATTTAAAATCTTGGTTGACAAACACACACGCCATTTTTTTTTTTTCAAATCAAAGCACGGAGTATGCTATCTGCTTACCTGCATGAAATGATTATTTGATCTTTCGAGCTTTGTCTATTATGAGAAGTCAATTTTATTCATATTTCTAACGAGTTTTAATTGTAAATAGCAACAGGTTTGTATATAGACCAGTGGAGATGCCCCGCTATGTTTTATTGTAAATAATGCTTTTGAAGGGGCCGGTACTCGCAAACGACTGCATTTCAAACGCAAGATTTTGTTTTGTGATTTTATGACCATTTCCAGTGAGTACATAGTAAAATTGAGTTGAAATATCACGGAGTGCTTTTCTTTGATGTCTGTAATAAAGTACAAGTTAAGGAATCTGTAAGCCTTTATTATCACCCAGATACCGAAAATGAGTTTTTTTCCTGCATGTAACTCTACAATAATGCATCTATCTTTGAGCTGATTTAAACAATAAAATCCCTTCAAAAATGTAAAGTATCAGCGTTTATTTTTTTCGTTGCAATGTATAAGCATAGGCAACTCAAGTCTTTTATCGTAAATTTAACACCTTTCTATTTCGAGGTGAGATAGCAATCGCAGTGGTACGTGTAACCTCATTCCTGAACACAGATTTTATTACGAAAATTGGCAAAGTTGATGTGCATGGCTACAATCCCGTGCGGTCATTTTGGTTAATTTTTTTTGTCATGAAATTATGGACCCCTCATTACAAATTTGCAACAAAAAAAAGTATAATTCTTATTTATTTATTTATTTATTTATTTATTTATTTATATGAAAGAAAAGAGTCCATACATAAAATCACACACATAATTCACATAGGAAAATCACATAATAAGACCGATAAAATCTGAACTAAATTTAAGCTTTTAAGAAAAATCACTGGCAGTGTTTTGGAATACCAAATGGTGTCAATAAATTGGCGTTAAAACGGTGTTCTTGGGTGCTCAATTATTAAGTCTATCGGTAAAGTAAACTTGTAGGCTAAGCAACCATCATTTAATTTTCTCTAAAATATGTTATAATATTTTATATAATACTGTAACCGAGGCACGACAAAAAAATGTATTGTCCTTTTAGAAAAATCTTTATTCGTACTATCTACACAGCCGATCACTGGTGTATCTCACTTTGAATTACGCGCCAACCGCTTTTATAGTCCAGGGTCACATGACCCACGTGACATAAAAAGGGCGCTAACACCAGTATGCATATTCATATCACATATTTATATACAAGAGCTATTTATAATAAGGCACTTATATCAATGTACGCTACAATATACTATTACATATATATATATTTATACCTGTGAATACATGAAATACATGTACCCTATTACAATACTACAGATTTGTCTTGATTCAAAGAAAACTTAGAACTTTGATCCACTCATCAGCCGACTCTTTAAGTTGGGGCAAACTATTTTTATGAACAGCAGTCTGGATGTTTCCTATTGCTCTATGCTGTCCCAACTAACGCAATGCATACCTAGAGTTGATCAGTATTTTTTATTTTTTTTCGAATTCGTTTAATAAGTTTTATTGTTTTTCTTGCAAAATAATGTTTAGATTTAATCTTTATGTATCTAAATATGAAAGGTTATCTTATTATGGGTCTCTTTGGTAAAAAAAAGAGGTAATGTGCTAGCTTAATAAATCGAAACTAAAGCATAAATTACGGTAAGCTTCGTAAGTTAATACAGCATGGACTCGAAGGAAATAGATAAAACGTCGGCAGAGTTTATACCTGGCCATAGCGATGTTTCATTATTCTCTCAAGTAAGTATGATTATGTCTTGCTTTAAGCCCCACAAGTGACGTTTATGTGTTTTAATTATTTTGATATTCTCTCTGGACAGTAGCAGAAAGAAATTACGTCTGCTGTCAGTCCCATAGTGTGGTAAATGATGTGTAAACTTTTATATTTTGCATTCGCACTGTAGTAGCTTCAGGGCAGTCAGAGAGGTAATGAGTAGGGAGAGAGAGTGGGAGAGAGATCGTGTGTGTGTGTGTGTGTGTGTTTGAGAGAGAGAGAGAGAGAGAGAGAGCAACCTATTTAGGCAAACTAGTATTTCTGATAATACACTGTATATTTAGGAAGCCTATATGCTAGTATTACTTCTCTGTCTTTCAGCAAGCCCTGCAGTCGGTAATGGGAGCAATCAGGGCATCCAACGAGCTGCCGGCCGCAGGCAATGACTATGACTTCTACTCCAGCTTTGGGGGATTTAGGGAACTGATGAATGTAGAAGGAAGGAGGGTTTTGCAGTTGTGAGTAAATTTCATTATTATTATTGTTGTTGTTGTTGTTGTTGTCGTTGTTGTGGTTATTGGTTAATAAATGTTAACTGTGGAACTTTTTGTTTTAAATTTACCATCATTGCCATCATCATAATTAATAAAGGAATCATGGTTTTTGTTAATGCATTTAATGTCTAGAATTCTAAACAGGCTTGAACTTTAAAACAGGAAAGAAAATTTATTTTTGTACCACATTGTATCAGATTTGTTTAAATTATAAATTTCAAGACTTGCTAAAGCACCACAATGCAACCTGCACAACATACATTTCAAATTAAACTTGCTCAAACTCCAGACTTGAAAAAGCAACCTTCTGTTTTTTTTTTTTTTTTTTTTGCAGAATGCAAGATTTACTAAAACACCAGAATGTAAAAGGCAACCTGTCTGGTGGAAGTCAGTCTGTTGAAGTAGAGGATAAATTTGATGTACTGGTTGACGCTAATGATCAGATGCTGGAGAGAGTGGTATGTTAAGTTTATAAAAAAAAGGTTCAGTGTGTTTTTAAAGTACTTATTTTGTAACAGTTTTGCTCTAGTTTTTCAAGATAATTTAGTGTTTTAAGTGTTTTTTTTTTCATAATAGTACTTGTTTTTTTCCATTAGTTTTGTTTTTCTTTCATTTTATTTAACTGTAAATTATCTATTAACACATCAGATAACAAAAAAATTTGGAGCCATTGGATTTACAATGGCTTAGCAACACAATGACTTTGCATATCTTTCTTTTCTTTTAGAGTTCCTTTCTGGATGAGGCATCAGGTATTAAGAAACAGGACAGCACTTTAGTTGTGGCCAGTGTAACACAGAAACAACACATCAATACCAGCTGGAATAAAAAGGTAAAATAAGATCATACTTAAATAAGGTGTTTTGTTGTAATTAGGTGAACCTATTGTGTTTAGTTCACCACAAGAAACCAATCTAATCCCAGATGTGTCCCATCCACTGACACTGCATTTAAGATACGTTAGGTGGGCCTATCTCCAGGTTATGATTAGCTCACTATAGGAAGCCAACCTAATCCCACCATTGTCCCACCCATTACTGTTATATTTGATGTAAGCATTATTCTTTTAGTTCCGATTTCTGTTTGTAATCAGCAGACCTGCTGAGATAGATTATGACTGTCAAGTTGGGTTGACCCAATTTCAGTGGAAACATGGCTCAGGAATGAAACCATCTTAACCATGTCTCTGTTTTTGTCATTCCAGTCGTCTGAAAGCCCAGCCCAGAAGGCCACTAGCTACAGGCTGTTAGCTGCAAGGTTTGTCCAGAGACCCCAGCTCAAGTTTCAGGACAAAGTGGACAACTCACCCAACACATCGTTTGTGCCCAAAATTAAACACAAACCAAATGCTCTGAGATCTCTTGAGGGTAGGTATTGAATAGTGTTGCACTAAAACATATTCAATATGTCATCCAAAATTTAGTTTTTTTTTTTAAATATGATACAAGTTTATTGAAAATTGTCCACTGAAGCAATTTTACTTATTATAATAAATGTTGGGAATTTTTTTCAGAGAGTCTTGTGCCAAAAATAATTGACAAAACAGATGAATTTGGAGACCAGTTTGAATGGCTGGAGTAAGTTTTAGATAAAAAAAAAATTGTCAGTGAAAATACCTGCTAATTTATCCATTAAAGATTCTGATATTGAAGTAAGAGGGGGGGGGGACAAATGCTTTTCATTTCCTTCTTAACTCACCTCGTCTGAATACAGGAGTTTTAAGTTAAGGGTAGGGAGAGAGGCACTTGCTTCCTGTTCTCCCCTACACCTGTGGCGTCTTTTCTAATTCTTACTTAAGATACCAAAGAAACATGTCTGTGACAAGTGACACTCAAAGTAAATCATCTTTTTCTCTCATATATTTGATTATCCACAAAAGGCAGTGATATCAAGAAGAACATAATTATCCAATCAATGTCCTCATACATTGTATGTAATGAATATACAGCTCAATTTTTGAGGTTATCCATGTTAAGAAATATTTTTCAAGTGTTAATTCCTTGATTACACTACATTTTCAGGTACCCTCATCCATATCAGTATGAACTGGACCAGTTCACCCCAAAGGAAGAACAACTCTTAGCCAAGGAACCAGTGGTAAGTCTGTTGTATGTGGAAGGTGATAATAGTAGGAAACGTTCATTTCAGAATAGGTAGGGTTTTGTCCTTGTTTTGAAAATGGCAACTTTTTCCTTACCGGTCAGTTGTGATGACTATATGTTTAGTACATTTCACTGGTATTGCTTCGCCGAGATAACACTTTAATAGTGATACATTACAGCAGTATAATGATGTGTGTTTGCACGTGCATGTTTGCGTGCATGCAAGCCTGTAATTTATAATTACAATAATTATAATAAATAAAATGTATAATGAATTAATGCAAATTAAAGGTTTGAAAGTCCCTAATGACATCTAACTGAAATGCACGCGTATTATTATTTTTAGCCTCCAAAGTCTCTGGAAGACACTCCCCTCACCTATGTTGACACCACTCCGACCCTCGTAGAGATGATAGACAGACTGAAGGAGGAGAAATTAATTGCTGTGGATTTGGAGGTACGTCTGGGCTAACACTATGCAATAAAAAAGTTGTGTCTTATTTAATTGGGGGGAGAAATGTATATTGCCTAATACATGACATGCCCCAAGTCCTTACACAAAGTTTTTGTTAGTAGTAACAACTTTAAAAGAGATAGTCATAAAGTTCTGAAAGAGGGTTTGGTTCATATAATAAAGTATAATTTTTTATAAGTAAATTTATGCAGGATTTCAAATCTTGGGAATTTAAATATAATATAATATAATTCCAAGTGAGATGTTTCAAATGCAATAATAGAGAGCACTCCAAGATTGCAGCTTCTACCAAGGCAAAATATGAATATAATTATAATAGATTATATTGGGAGATCTATCCCTATTCAGTCAAAATTGTTATCAAATGTAATATTAGGAGACTTGGACTTTAGTTGAATTTGTAAGCACTGTTTTCCTCCTGAATAACTGTCTGTCATGAACTGAAAACTTCATCCAAATTTGTAAAGATCTTTTTGAAGTATCTTGTTCTCAAACAAATACCAATGAAAATGTAACCTCCACCATTCAATTTGATAGAAGTAATATCCAGAATTCTCTCTCTTTTACAGCACCATTCTTACAGAACCTACCAAGGCATCACGTGTCTAATGCAGATATCAACTGGAGACCATGACTATGTGATAGACACCCTGACCTTGAGGGGAGATCTGTACTTGCTGAATGAGGTCTTCACAGATCCTGGGATTGTCAAGGTGAGAAAACTGTGAATCATGGGAGAATGGACTGTGAAAATGTGAATCTTGGGAGTGACTGTGGTAGAAAATGTGAATCATGGGGGAATCGGCTGCATAAAACAATGAATCGTGAGAGAATTGGCTGTGTAAAAATCTCATTCATGGGAGAATTGACTCATGAAGAAAATGTGAATCATGGGAAAATACTTATATAGATCATGTAAAGAAAATATTTATCAATAGGCAAGAAGACGTTTTCTTCTTAAGCTCAGAATTGTCTTAGGGCCAATATANANCTATTCTACAGTAGGACCCTAGCTTTTAGACCAAGTTCTTCTGTATGACGGGCGGACTCTGTGTTTCGTGATAGCTGTCATGAAACGTAGGGTCCGGTTAAATGCAGGGTCCGGGGGACCCTGTATATTATATTCAATTATCATGATACAGAGTCTGGGACTCGTTATTTCAGAAACCAGGGGTCCGTAGGACCCCTGGTTTCTGAAATAACGGGTCCCGGACTTTCTGTCATGGGGGACCTTCTGGTACATGACACCGGTGTCAAGCAACACAGAGTCCTACCATTCTAGGGTCCGGCGGACCCGGTGTTTTAAAACTGAGAGTCCGGCGGACTCCCTGTCTCGAAATAACGGGTCCCGGACTCTATGTTCTGAAATGTAGAGTCCCCCTAGACACTCAATTTCAGTAGGGAAATTCCTAGGACCCTACGTTTTAATACTGAAAGTCCGCAATAATGAAATCTCACACTTAAAACATGCAATTTAAAAATAACATTGAACATGATGTTGACTGATACAGAGGGAAGAATTATAAGGATTAAAGGTAAAGTAAACATTACTAACCTCTGTTATAGTGTAACACGTAGTATAAATGTGCATTATTCTCATTTCATAAACTTTAATTTGCAGTTTTATCTTTTGTATGCAATTGAGAAAGAACATCACTAAAGAAATATAAATTTATTCAGAATATATAAGTGCCTTTGGTGAACTTCCTGATTTTACAAAAAAGTTTATTTTATTAATCAGTATAGTTGTTGTCTTTTCTCCTCAATTTCATTTTCTCTTTGTCGTGCATTTCTTGTAACAAGGCAATTTCTTATCTTCGCTTTCTACTACTTTCCTCCTTCTCCCTCTCTTCCTTCCCACTCTCTACTCCAACTATCTTTCTTACAACTCTGTAACATAAGCAGCCGCTTACAAGCTAAAACAGAAAGATAAATATGTACCTTAAATGTACATGTAAGTTGCGCTTTTATTAAACAGTCTTGAAGTTAAGCGGGTATAATAAATGTATAAAACTTACTTTATAATGGTTTGCGGCGCTTCTCCTGATTGCTCTTTTCTGATTGTTGGATGTTCGTCTTCTGTACCTGCCATATTGTAAATAAAGTCGCACTGCTTGAAAATCCCTGCTGACAGAGTAAGACATCGCGAAGAGCTAGACATTTTATACCCTGAGAAACATGGAATACATTCCTTTTGGATTGATTCCTTTTTCATTTAGGGTATGCAACTTAAATTAGAACTTTATATAATTTGTTAAATAAAATTAAGAGTACTTTTTCAATTACGCCCCATAAGCATGTATATTTGATAACTAATTAATTTCGTCAGTTTCAAGAAAATACATATTTTGCACAATTTGGCATTGATGCACTGTATAACGCTAGCTGTCACACATTTATGAGTGGTAGTCATTGTAGACTAAGTCACGCGTATAGTCTAAAGAAAAGAAACGTTTTGCACAGCTTAGCATCGATTCATTGTGTACCACTAGCTTACACACATTTGCGAGTGGTATTCAAATAAGTCACGCGTATATTCAGTCCAAAGCATCACAATGAAATGGGATGTGTGGGATATATTTTAAGTAAGTCCAATTAAAAAAAAGGTATGAAATGTAATCAAAAGTGTGTATATATCACATTTTATTGCGAAATGAAACACAATAAATGGACAGTAAGTTGAATATTTAACTATAGATTAAAAAAAAAAAAAGAGTGAAAATTGAGGCGTTATAAAGTCAACTCTAGAGTTGGACTAGAACCAACATATATTGTTAAATTACTGCAAACTTCCCTGTCATTGGATACCACAGTAGGCTCACCACCTGTGTCGCTGTCCACTACACCACCAGGACGTTGTGCAAACCACCGCCTTTTTGTTATATTATATTTACTTGCATCAAGGGCTTTGCTTTATTATAATTCTATTATACCCAGATTGTCAATATAAAGCGCTTTTACTAAATATCTACATTAGGACCCTAGCTTTTAGACCCAGTTATTCTGTATGACGAGCGGACTCTGTGTTTCGTGATAGCTGTCATGAAACGTAGGGTCCAGTTAAATGCTGGGTCCGGGGGACCCTGTATATTATATCCAATTACCATGATACAGAGTCCGGGACCCGTTATTTCAGAAACCAGGGGTCCGTACGACGCCTGGTTTCTGAAATAACGAGTCCCGGACTTTCTGTCATGAGGGACCTTCTGGTACATGACACCGGCTAAGCTGACAGTAATCTAGTGAGACTCCCCACAGGGATAGATCGATCTAAAATATGTTGGAATGGGGTCTAAATCTGCGGGAATGCAGTCAATATACCCTTCACTAACAGACATTTGCGAAGGATTTTTTTTTAAAAGCTAAACGCGGAGCTAAAATATTCTGGATAGCAGCTATTGCCATCGCTATGTTTTATGCCTATTATATATTTCATACGTGCACGTGTTTCAGTATTTCTAACCAGTTTATCCGAAGACTTATCTTGTATACACGTCACCGTATCAACACAGTAGCCCAGGTCCATACAGTACTAGAGTAGTGTAACTGTTCTAGTTCAAACAATGGTATCACCACGTCCAGTCTGGGAGACAGGACAACATATCTATACAGAGTTCCTGGCCCCTACTTGGTGATATAAAACATGTTCACATGTGACACATACAACTGAAGAACTATCTGATAACCTTATCATCAGTGTATGTCAGTTATGTATATATCAGGCACATGACTACGTAACCTGACGCCATTATTAAAAACTGCAGGGTCCAGGAAAGAGGTTGGGAGGCGACACTTCGTTCTCTTCAAGATATCTGCTGTCTGTGGAACTGGGAAGAACACTTGCTCTCCTTGCGGTAAGTACATGTACCATGTTGATATTGCTAAGTGGACAGTTTCTTCCTTGTAAAAAAACGCCTATGCATAAAGTAGACGTATATATTCATTGCGCATTTTGTAGTAGGAGGCTCATATTTGGGGGGAGGTCTGATCACAGCTCAGGGGAAATAAAGTCACCAAATCACAAATCGTTTTAGATAAAACTTTATGGATATTTCATTGAAATGCAAGTTTGGCGAGATGAAAATCACTAATAATTTAGAATTAGGGCTTCGTTTACGAAGGACGAGGGAAAAAAGTCCCATTTATGAGTCACTGGAATGGGGTGCTTCACATGTAATTATAACACTTCATGCATCTCGGAAAATACAATGTGGTTTTCCCGACAACGAAGACACTTAAGGGGATATCCTTAAGTTGCAGTAGCTGAGTAAGGGACCATTCCCACATATATTTGGATAGATCTATCTCCCTGGGGAATCTCACTAAATAGCTATAAAACTAACCGGCTTAAACGTCTGTCACGCCTAGTAAAACTGTTAGGAGGTAATTATCTTTACCCCTAGCTGACTCGGCAGGCGCGGCAGGCATTTAAGCCTCTTGTCATCCCACATCTACGAAGAAAACTTGGACATTTTTCTCCTGACAGAAACTTGGATCAAATCTAACAGAGACCCAATCATCTCAGAGATTACATCAAGTTTACCTGGGTATTCCTTCCATCATGAATGTCGGACTGGAAAGAGAGGTGGAGGGGTAGCTATTTTAGCCCATCCTCGTCTCAAAATGGTTAAAAAACAAAAACATTCCATGAAATCAATAGAATCTTTAGACATTGTTTTTACATCAAAAAGTGAAACACTGCAATTTCTTCTCATCTACCGTCCTCCAAACAACCCGATCTCGGACTTCTTTGGTGAATTTGCAACCTTATTGGAAAAAGTCGTCCCAAAACCAGGCCATCTCATAATCGCCGGGGATTTCAATGTTCATGTTGATAATTCTCATTCCCGTGATGCTTCAGTTCTGAATGAAATTATATTTTCTAGAGATCTTCAACAGCACATCAATTTCCCAACTCACCAAAAAGGGCACACTCTTGACTTATTGATAACTCGCGCATCAGATAATCTTCTCTTTTCAACTGACTCAACAGACTACTTGAATTCAGACCATAGTCTTATAGAATTCTGTCTGAATGTGGCTCGTCCTCCTGCGGTTAAAACTACGACTTCACGTAGAAACCTGAAAGAAATTGACTCTGATGTTCTTAAAGCAAAACTTCAATCTGCCTTTAACTCCTTCCCACCTGATACCAATGCAATTGGAAACACTACTTCAGAAGATGTGGACAATCTTCTGCATTCATATCACAACACCATAACCACCATTCTCGACGAACTTGCTCCAGTCAATACTCGAGTAACACGCAGTAAGTCAACAGCGCCATGGTTTTGTAGTGAACTGTCTGAGATGCGAAAATCAGTTAGAAAATGTGAGCGTAAATGGCGCAACACCGGTCTGGAAGTCCATCGCCAAATTCACAAAGAAAAACGCCTAGAGTACTGTCGCCGTGCTGATCAACTGAAATCTGACTACCACAAAAAACGCATAGACAACTCGGATACCAAAAGTCTTTTTATGATTGTTGAGGAGTTAACC